AGGTAAGACACCAGTCCAGTCTGTGCTGAAACGCTACTGTCAATCAAACTATCGTGGGAGGGGCCTGTCTGTGTGACGTCACACAGACAGGCATCTGAGATCGGCTCGATTTGAGAAAGGGGAAAACATTTAACCAGATTAAAAAAAAAAACACTGGGGGGATTTTTATCATTATAGGGTGGTTGGGTACACAAACTGCCAACACACATTTCAGTTCAAACAACTTGTAAAAGTGCATGTAGCATCCTATGACCCCTTTAAGGGTGAGTAAAATGGGCTAATTGACATTTTTGGGTGAACTAACCCTTTAATATAGCTTTTTTTTTTCAGAAGTCACTATGAAACGCCTGTTTTCAAGAAATCTTGAGTTTGTCTCTCTAAAATTCTAAAATCAATGTGTTGCAAAGGTAAATGAATTTTTTTTTTCCATAAAATGTGCACTATAGTGTCTCATCAAGTTTCAGAAGAGATCATGTCACAAAATGAGCTCAGAAGTTTGCAATCAAAAGTCATATCTCAATATGAACTCATATTTCTCATCAAACACTTCCAAGACCAAATACTCTGAGCTCTGCTAGTCATACATCTAACTGCTTTTTACTCTTACTGCATGTCAACTGTTGTCTGATTTGTGTGTATTTGTATTTCTCCTGGGGAATGTTCTTCTCAGCTATGAGAAAGCAAACTCTAAGCAATAAAACTTTCCTTTGTGCAATTTCCAACAATATGAAATGCTGTGACACATAGTGAAGCTGAGCTGAAGAACTCTTTGTTGTATTGGATGGTGTTCACATTAAATTAAATCTCTCTGCTGTTGCTCCAGTAAATTTGGATGCAGAAATCAATGCTAAATTTGGCTCATCACAGATATAATAGCCCCCTGTTTGCCAGTATGTAACTCTTAAAGGAACAGTTCATTCAAAAATAAAAATTGCCATCTGTTGACTCATCATAATGCTGTTCTAAACCTCTACGATTTACTTTCTTTTGTGGAGCACAAAAAGAGATGTTAGGCGTGAATGTTTGAGCTGTTGATTTGCACACAACAGAAATAAATGAGAACTTTCAAGCTCCAAAAAGAAAGTTCTCAAATCTAAACTTAAATTCTAAACATACAAGAGTCCGAACAGAAGCTCATAATATACGGGATATTTTCAGAAATGTATTTTTTAATATATGTGTATATACCTATATAATATAAATGATTTTAAATGATACAAAACAAATAATAAAATAATTAAACTATTAACATATAATAAATATACAAATATAAACTGTATAGAAAAACATTCAGTATATTTAAAGAATGTAAATTAATTAAATTAAACTATATAAAATGATATCCAATCATAATAGTAATAATAATAAAATATGAATGTTTAAGTATTATGAATTATATAAATTGTATAGAAAAATATTCAGTGTATTGTATTGTATATATCAAGTATGTATATATATATAATATTAGTCTGTGTGTGTGTGTATATATCAAGTATATATATATATATAT